CCACTTGGTGAACACTCATTGCACTGAGCACCGCCAGGATGAAATCACTCAATCCTCCTGACACCCGTGAGGCAGGTCCTATCATCTTCCTCGGTTCATAGACGAGGGGTTTGAGTCCCACGGAGGCATGAGGTTTGCTCATTGTGGCACCAAGAGGAAGGGCGAGTGTGGAGCCCAGTCCCACGCAGGTGCTCTGTCTGCAGGTGTGCGCATCCTCACCCTCTAGGGCAGTGGTTCTCAACCTGTGGGTCGCGACCCCTTTGGCGGTCGAACGACCCTTTCACAGGGGTCACCTAAGACCATCCTGCATATTTACATTACGATTCATAACAGTAGCAACATTACAGTTATGAAGTAGCAACGAAAATAATTTTATGGTTGGGTCACGACATGAGGAACTGTATTTAAAGGGCCAGAAGGTTGAGAACCACTGCTCTAGTGCGATGTTGCTGTAGCTGCTGCTGGCCACCCGCCACACTGCCTCCCTCTTCCCCACTCCCTCTAGGCTGGTGGCCTTCTCTCCCCAAACTAGCACTCGAGGGCTGTGGCCCTCCTGTTAGCGTCTCTCCTGCTCACTATCCTCGCACAGGCAGATCTGAGGACACAAGGAAAAGGCAGAAAGATGAAGGAAGGGGGCAATAAAAGGAGCCTTCCGCAGGCAAGGGTGGGGAATCTTTTTCCTGTCCAGGGCCATTTGGGTATTTATACCATCATTCATGGGCCATACAAAGTCATCGACTTCAAAATTAGCCTGTTTGGTCAAACGTTTAATGAACTCACCTCTAATGCCTTGGTAGGGCCAGACCCAATGATTTCACAGGACTTATCTAGCCCTGAGGCTGGGCGTTCCCCACCCCTGAGAGAGGGAGAGAAGGTGGACACTGGATGGGGACAGAGAAGGAAGGAAGCTGGGTGAACCGAGGAAGAGGGCACAGGCAGGGCCTCCATTGTGCGGGCACAAAGGGGCCATCTGCCTGGCAGCCTACACAACGTGTGTGTGTGTGTGTGTGTGTGTGTGTGTGTGTGTGTGTAAGGGGAGAGGGGAAGGAGTGGCTAAGAGTCCCCTCCACCCCATTCTCAAACCCCAGGGGCCCTGCTGTCTGCTCTGGCACTGGGGGTGGGGGTTGCTGAGAAGGAGGGCAGAGAGGAGCAATTATGACAGACAGGACTGGGGGGCCAGGGCCTGCAGTAGCCAGGGATGGAAGAGGGCGCGGACAGCTGCAAGGGGTATGACCTGATGAGAAGGGACTGGAAGAGGAAGGGAGGGGGAGGGGCCAGAACCCTCCTTGCCTGGTGCCCCAAACTGCCCCTGCCTCACCCCACTGGCCCTCTCACCCTTGCTGGGTTTTGGAGGATGTGAAACGAGGGCCCCAAGAGGGCCTGCTATTCTAGCCTTCCCTTCCTCCCTTCTCCTGGTCTGCTGGCCCCAGAGCTCTCTTTCCCCTTCTCCCTCAGCCTGGGACTTCATCTCCCTGACAGTCTCTCCCAGCGCCTGGTCCCTCTCCCTTCCCCCTCTCTCTTCCCCCTCTCACTTCCCACCTCCTTCCTCGCCCCGTCCTTCAGAGCCCAACAACAGCGAGGCCAATTGATTATCTGAAGAAATTCGGAGCAGCTAGCAGTAGAACAGCTGCAGCTGCCACCTCTTACCACCCCCAGGCCCTCAGGGATCCCTAAGGAGGGGGCCTGTAACCCCTTCTGCTTTCCAGCCTGGCAGAGTGAAGAGTGAGGGGGGAAGGGAACTCGGGGGACTATGGTTGCTGGCAGGGGAAGGCACAAAGCACTCAGGGCAGGAACGGAAGAACCAGGTTCTAGTCCCAGCCCGCCATCCTGTGTGAGTCCCATGAGCCTTGTGGATAGCAGTAACCTGCCTTTAAGAAAAAGGTGTCGGGCCCTAGCCGGTTTCGCTCAGTGGATAGAGCGTCGGCCTGCAGACTCAGGGGTCCCAGGTTCGATTTCGGTCAAGGGCATGTACCTTGGTTGCGGGCACATTCCCTGTACGGGGTGTGCAGGAGGCAGCTGATCGGTGTTTCTCTCATCGATGTTTCCAGCTCTCTATCCCTCTCCCTTCCTCTCTGTGAAAAATCAATAAAATATATTAAATAAAAAAAAAAAGACAAAGGTGTCGGATGCAATGCTTTCTGTGCTCCCTTCCCACTCTTGCCCCTGTAGTCCTCTGAGTCTCTCTGGCCTCCCTCTGGTCATGTTCTGGGCAGAGCACATGTCAGTCTAACTCAGATGGGGAAGGGAAGATATCAACTCTCCTCTCGAAGTCTAACTCAGACCCTTCTTGCTGCTGATGCCATTCATCCTGAACTCATCACAGATGAAAATGGCGCCCTTCAGCAACGGAGGACACCTTAGAATTCCCCTCCCACGGGCTGCCTTCAGCCTTCTCAGGTGGTCTCACGTTTGAAAAGGATCTTGACGACCATGTAGGCAGGAATGTGCTCGGTGGTGTCACTGCCTGCCCACTGGACCCCTCCTCCTTGAGACTGGTCCTTCCATGGCGGGGCAGTTTTTCTTCCAAGTGCGGTAGTCTTTCTTGCAGTAAAATCTGTCTCCTGTAACTGTCACCTACTGGTTCCGGTTCTGACTCCTGGGACCACACTGAATGTCTGATTTTGTTTCTTTTTTGTTTGTTTGCTTGTTTGTTTTCAATATTTGAAGATGGGTAGCATGTTGCCCCTTGTAAAGACACATATCCTCAGTTTTTTAACTATTCCTCCTGTGCGGTCTCCAGGCCTTTAGCCTTCTTGACCACATGACTATGAATACTCTCTAGTTTATCCATGTTCCATTAATATATGGGGTCCATAAAGTGCCCCCTGTCATTTCAGGGAGGCAGAGGGGCCTTGGGTATAGAACAGGGGTCCTCAAACTACGGCCCGCAGGACACATGCGAATACAAATATTGTATTTGTTTCCGTTTTGTTTTTTTACTTCAAAATAAGATATGTGCAGTGTCCATAGGAATTTGTTCATAGTTGTTTTTTTTAAACTATACTCCGGCCCTCCAACAGTCTGAGGGACAGTGAACTGGCCCCCTGTTTAAAAAGTTTGAGGACCCCTGGTATAGAACATAGAGAACCTGGGTTTGAACTTTATCTCTGCCCACAAGTAGCTGTGTGACCTTGGGCAAAGCCCTACTCCTCTCTGGGCTTTAGTTTCCTCAGCTAGAAGTTGATTTCGGGCGCCGCCCAGGATTCCTCTGGTATCCTCCATATTACTCTCTTAGTCCTAGGTCCATTGTGTTCTCCCCAGTATCCTGAGGTAGGGGATACAACATGAGCCAAGAACTGAGATTGCAAGGAATTTTGACCCAATTTAGAGACAAGACCAGGGAAGGCAGTGTTTCATGCCATGGCTTTTCCCAGGAGCGTGGACCCACAGATACATGTTGAACTTGGGTTCCATGGGGACACTCAGCTCCTTCTCAGACCCACTGGGAGCAGGAGCAGAAGCACATCAGAGAGATCAGAAAGTGTCACTTGATGAGTGCCCAACATGGGGGTCCATGAAGCTTTAGGTGGGGAGGTCTGGGACCTGTGTGTTACACCTTCCTCTGCACCTCCTTACTCTGTGACCCCTTCTTCTTCCTCTCCTCATTTACCCACCAGACTGCGCTCTCAAGGCCCCATCAGAAGAGCCGTCACGGCCTGGAACCCACTGTGCCCACCCTACCATAACCTGCGGGCCAACTTCCCAGCCTATTCAAATGATCCAAGCCATACCTGGTGGTAGAACGAGGTCACTTTAATTTTTCCTTTTGTATTAAATCGGAAATGCAACAGGACATAGGACACAGACCCCTAGGACCCACTCTTGGGGGTACTAGGGAACAGGGAGGGATTAGGGGAAGGCTGGAGAGAGAAAAGAGGCGGGTAGGACAGGGTGGGGTTGTCTGGGAATGGAGGGAACTGAGAAAGAACTGGGAGCCCTGGATCTGGGGGAGGGGCACCATCCCAGAGGACTAGGGTGACAGACAGATGGCTCTGAGGAGGGATATGGGGTGTCATGAGCAAAGGGGATCCCCACACACACCTGCAGTTGCAGAAGGAGCACGAAAGGGAAAGGAATAATCAGGGAAGAAGCAAGAGAGACCTGGCCAGGGCTTCCAGGAACCTCCTCACCCACCCCAAAGTGCACAACTTGGCAATAAATAGTAATATTTATAAATAAATAAGTAAATAAATAGATAGATGAATAAATAAATACATAAATAAATATCCTTGTAGAGCTAGCAGTTTGGTGCGAGGGAGGAGCATGCCGAGTGCAGTGCGCTCCTTGCTTTTGCACAGGTCCTAGGGCCCTTGTTCCACTGCTGACCCCAGGCTCCGGTGAGCACGTGGGGCTCAGTGACAGGGGCAGTGGGGGCAGAGCGCTGGAGGTGGGGTGGGTGAGGGTCACTTCCCTTGCTGAAGGCAGTTTAAGGAAGGGGGGCGGGGATGATAAACAGGCCCTAGGACCAGGAGAGCTGAGCATTCCCAGAGGGCCATGCTGAGGCACCCTCTGCATCCCAGGGAGGACCTGATGTGGTTTGCACATTTTCGTGGTGGGCTGGGATGCAGGAAGCAGAGGTGAGCTCTGGCCCACCCATTCCCTGGGATGAGTTTGGGGACATCATCCCCTGCCCCAGGATCCAGGCTGGCCTTTCTCTAGCTCTGCACCCAGGGAGGGAGAAACCTGGGAAGGTGGGAGTGGGAGGGGCCGAGGAGGGGGAGCAAATAGCTCAGAGAGGGCAAGGCACTCTCTACCGAGTAAGATCAAGGCCAGCATCTTCAGGAAAAAGATAGAGAACAGGAAGGCCTTCCCCCCAATGTCAGCTACTGGGACTCCCCGCCACGGAGATGATGTCATCTCCGCAGGCCCCTCTGCCAATCTAGACTGAGATCTCGGAGGAAGAAGCCCACCCCTTCCTGTTCTGATGTTCCCTCCCTACCATGGGCAGGAGGCGCTGGAACAGGGTGGAAAGAGGATGGGGGGAAGGGGGGTGTCTGGGTCTCTGGAAATCTGTACCTGGGATAGAAAAGGGAGCAGCCCTTGAGAGAGCTAGGGGGACCCAATGTGTGGTGAGCTTAGTAAATCCAACAAGGACTGGACACCGACCTCCCCTCCCCGCTGACACTTCTAACAGCGGGGGCCCAACCACACACTGAGAAGGTGCCCGGAGAGCAGCCCTGGGATGCTGGGTTGGTCACGACCCGTGGGGACATCATCCCCTACCCCAGGCCTGGGGGGCTCCATGCCAGGGCACAGGGCTCAGGAGAGAGGTGTCTGTTCTAGTCAGTGGGCGAGGAGAAGGGACCTGGGGGGGCCCGGGGAGGGGTGTGCCCCGGGCGCCTTCAGACATCCAGCACGTGGTTCAGGTAGGAAATGTAGCAGATGGCCAGGCGCAGGATCTCAATCTTGGAGAGCTTCTTGTCCGGGGGCAGCGTGGGCAGCAGCTTGCGCAGCTCAGCGAAGGCCAGGTTGAAGGCCTCCACGCGGATCCTCTCCCGCGTGGCGTGGGCCGTGCGGTACTTGGCTGTGGCCCTGCGCCTGCGCCGCCGTTCCTCCCGGCTCAAGTGCTGCAGGTCTTTCCTGCCGGGCTCTCCTGGCTCCAGGCCCCGGGTCTGGCCCCCTCCCGGCCCCCTGGGCCCAGCCGCGTCAGGGCCCGCCCCGCCCCCATAGTCACTGAAGCCTGACTCCGGCTCCGAGTGGGCGGGAGGCAGGTCCAGCTCCATGGCGTCTGAGTTGAGCATCATGATGGATGCCCCCTGCCCCGTGAGATCAGGATCCCCTCCCGCCCCTCCCTCTGGGAGCCTGAGAGCTGGTTGTGGGAGAGGCAGGAAGGGCCTTGGGTGGTGGGGTCTGCCACTGAGCTAGAGAAGGCAGAACCGCTTCAGGAGTCCATGGCCAGGGTTCCAGTTGGGAGCCTGGAAGAGAGAAGAGGACATTGGTGGGGAGGGAGGAAGGAGGGACAGCTCAGGGGTGAGGAGGGCATCGGGAAGGTTTGAGATGGGCTGGGAGGGGGGAAGTACCTAAGGGTGGGGGAGGAAGGCAGAAGCAAAGGGGAGGTGTAGGGTAGGGGGACAGCAGGAGCGATAGGCAGGTGGCCACATTGTTACAGAAACAGGAGGAAAGATGGTAAGAAGGAAGAGAATCCGGAAAGTGAGCCATGGGAAAGGAAGAGAAGGGATGAGGAGGACGTAGGGCAAGATAAATCTGAGAAAGGGATTAAAGATCTCAGTGTGAGACCTAAAACTGCAGAGCTCCTAGAAGAAAGGGAAAATGTTTCATGACATCAAACTTGGCAATGATTTCTTAGATGTGACGCCTAAAGCACAGGCAACAAAAGCAAAACTAGACAAGTAGGACTTAAAATTAAAAACTTTTGTGCAGCAGAGGACACAGTCAACAGGGTGAAAAGGCAACCCACAGAACCGGAGACCATTTCTAAAAATCATCTATTGGATAAGGGGTGAAAATCCAGAATATTATAAAGAACTGCCCCTCTAACAACAAAAGATCAAAGAACTTGGTTAATACATAGGCAAAGGACTTGAATAAACATTTCTTCGAAGGTGATATACAAATGACCAACAAATATATGCAAAGTCCAACATGATTGGTCATTAGAGAGATGCAAATCAAAACCACAATGAGATAGCGCCTCACACCCATTAGGATGGATGCTCTGGAAAACACAGAAAAGAACAAGTGTGAGGATGTGGAGAAGTTGGGGCCCTTGCACCCTGTTAGTGGGATTGTACAATGCTGCCACCACGATTGAAAACAGTATAGAGATCTATATCCAAGTGAATTGAAATCAGGAGGAAATAACTGAAACCAGGATCGGGAAGAGGTGAGTATCTGCCTTCCAACGTTCCTTGCGGCATTATTTACAGCTGCCGAGACATGGGAGCAACCAAACGTCCATCTACAGATGACTAGGAACGAGTGGCATTTACATACAATGAAAGAGCATTCAGCCTTAAAAAGGAAGAAGGGCCTGTCACAGATACCACCTAGATGAATCTTGAGGACATGATGCTAAGTGAAAGAAGCCAGTCACAAAAAGACTTATTGTAGCCTGGCCAGAGTGGCTCGGTTGGTTGAAAGTTGTCGACCAGTGCACAGAAAGGTTGCCGGTTCAATTCCCGGTCAGGACACATACCTGGCTTGCGGGTTCGATCCCCAGTTGGGGTGCGTGTGGGGAGACAACAGATTGATGTTTCTCTCTCTCTCCTCTCTCTCCCCTCTCTCCCTTTCTCTCTCTCTCTCTAAGCATGTCCTCGGGTGTGAGGATTAAAAAAGGAAAACACCCCATGATTCCACTTAAATAAGGTATCTAAGTAGTCATTTTCACAAAAATATAAAGTACAACGGTGGTAACCGGGGGCTGGGGGGAGGCAGGAAGGGAGGTGCTGTTCCATGGGCACAGAGCTTCCGATTTGCAAAATGAGAATTTCTGGAGCTCTGTTTCACAGCCATGTGACGATACTTAACACGACTGAACTGCACACTGAACATGGTAACTTGCATGGAGTGTTTTTTACCACAATAATTTAAAAAAATAATAAAGACAAAAAAGGAAAAAGAAAAAAAAACTGAGCAACACTGAAGCTATAGGTCCAAGAGAGGTTGGCTGTGACTCTAAACTTTTACCAGCGAGAGAAGAGCTGCAAGCCTCGGCCCTGTGATCCCCTCCCTCCCGGGGCCCCTCTCCATCCGTGTGTGTGTGTGTGTGTGTGTGTGTGTGTGTGTGTGTGTGTGTAGGAGGGGTGGGGGCGGAGAGCAGGCTGGAATAAACACGCAGATTGCCCATTGTAGAGTGGACTGGGACATATGGAGCTCGGCACAGCTGCCCCAGCTCAGTGGCTCCCAGCCCACACCCCACTCCCAAACGCACCACCGCAGACAGCAGGCCCTGCACCCTGTCCACTAGAATCAGGGGAAGGCATCTCCTCTGGCCATGCTCCCGCTGCTCAGAACCAGCTCTTTGCTCTAGCTCTGACCTCAACAGCCTCAGACCTTCCCCTGCAAGGAAGATTGGAGAAAGGGAACATAATCAGCTCCCACAGCCCCAGGTCAGTTCAGACGTGGCCCACAGAAGAGGATGAGGACAGCTTCGCGGGGCCACCATGATGAAGCTTAGCTAAGGTTTCCTGACCTGGGGTCAGAGGAAGGCAGGGCAGCAGGAATACGGCCTGGGAAGGCTGGGCAAAGGGCTCTCCTTTAAGGGGTGTTAATTGGGCAAAGTGGACCACTCACTGTGAGCTCAACGCCCTCACCTTCCTCCTTCCTCATCAGCTTTGGTTCTCCTGCCTGACAGACACTCTCCAGGGGTCAGGCACCCCCGAGCTTGCCCACCCCACTGCACAGAAGACAGGCTCAATTGTAGTTGACAAATAGTTACTAAGCTGGTGGGAGGGGGAGGGATGCAAGGTCATCATCTGACTGGCACACACACACCCAACAATAACACAAGACAGAAGGTGGTTAGTCCTGAAATGTAGAACACACTCCATCTTCTGGGGTCCAAAGGAACAAGAGGGGGTGGCAATAGTGGGGGAGGCCCCACAATCACCATCTTCCGGCACATGTTCAGTTGTCCAACTGCCCACCCCCGTGCTTCAGGAGTCCAGCTGTGGGATCGCAACACATCTATCACAGCCCCATCCTCCCTCTGTCCCCATGTTCCTGCACCCTGATCTCCTTGCCATGCCCTCCCTCCCCCTCTGTCTGCTCCCAGCCTGCCCCCTTTCCCATGTCCTCCCCAGCTCCAGTCCCAGCAGCAGCTTCTATTTCCCCATCGAGTCCTCACCCCCAAATCCACTTCTGGTCTCACATTTCCAGGCTCCGAGGATCAAGGACTGCAGCGTTGCCAAGCATCCAGGACAAGGCTTCCTGCCCCACTCCGGCCATCCCCAACCCGACGGAGAACAGGTAGGCACCGAATCAGAGGGGAGGAGTGGGAAGAGGGAGGTGCAGGGTGGGAAGACACAACACACTAGAGAGAGAACTAGAGGGAGGCTCTGGGAGGGGACTGGAGCCAGAGGGGGAGGGACACGCCCACCCCTCCCCAGCCCACGGTCCCCCCTTTACCTAGGAGGACCCTGTGAGGGGATCCAAGCTGGCAGGACAGGGGCAGCGTTGACAGCCCCAGTCTCCTCTGGCTGCTCAGAGCTCATCCGTCTGCAAAGTTAGTGACCAGCTTTCTAGAGCTCTCGGGGGCAGCGTGGCATGGCTGCGCGGGCTCCAGGGCAGACGAGAGGGGCACACATAGTAGGGATATAGGACCGGAAGGAAGGGGTGGGCTCGACCAGGTACTGGGGCCACCAGTACTCACACACACACGCACACACACTCACAGACACATACACACCTGAGCTGACCCAGCCCTATGTGTGTATATATGGAGATACACACACACACCCCCAGCTCTCCATTGGCTGGCCCAGGCTCCCCCCTCATCAATATTAAACAGACAGGCCAGGCAGCCATTGGCAGAAGGACCTGGGAACCCCCCTAACCCTGGGAGCTGGGGATTGGGGGCTGGCCCTGGGGGTGGGGTGGGGGGGCAGGCAGTAGGGGAGCAGGGACATCTGTTCTCCATGCATATTTCATAAGCAAGAAATGGAGAGCTGGGGAAGGGGTGGGGCTGGGGCGAGAGCCAGGGCAGGAGCCCAGAGAGCCCCTGAGCCTCTCAGAAGAGGCAGCAGGGACAGAGTCCCTCAGCAAGCTCAATGTTAGTGCCATGGTCCCAGTCTAAGTCCCCGCACGACTTTGACAGCTCCTCCCCGTGTCTCCTCTGCCCTGGGAAGAAGGCACTCACAGGGAAGTCTCAAAAAGCACAGTGGACAGCACAGCACTAAGATGCAGCGAGAGCACAGACAGCACGAGAGTCCTTGCCCTCACCAAGCTCTCATTCTCCAAAGCTGGGACCACCGCCCCCTTGCCACGCTGCCTGTGGCTGCTTTCCAGGCCCTGCCCTCATCCCTGTGGAACTCAATCACCCCACCTTCTTACCCCAGCCCCCGTTCTTCCACCTACCCCATCACCTGGGGCGGCAGGATCAGATTCCTGACACAGATCCCCGTAGGCGTTTTTCTAGGCTGCCCATCCCAACCTGACCCCCTGGGAATAAGGCGCTCTTAGGAGGAAAGTCGGCTAAACAGAACAATGTGGAGGAGAGAGGAAAACGCAGCATGTGAACGACTCTGGGGTAGGAGGGCAGGGCAGCCCGGGCAGACTTCACGTTTGCTGGAGTATCTAATGAGCAGTAAGAAAACTAGATACAAAATTATATGCAAATGGGCACTGATTACGTTCCTATCAATAGCTGAGCTGCCTCCAGCCTGCGTGTGTGTGTGTGTGTGTGTGTGTGTCTGTGTGTGTGTGGTGTGGTGTGTGTCTGTGTGTGTGTGTGTGTGTGTGTGTGGTGTGGTGTGTGTCTGTGTGTGTGGTGTGTGTGTCTGTGTGTCTGCGTCTGTGTATGTGTGTCTGCGTGTGTGTGTGGTGTGTGTCTGTGTGTGTATGGTGTGTGGTGTGTGTCTGTGTGTGTGTGTGTGCGTGTGGTGTGGTGTGGTGTGGTGTGGTGTGTGTGTGTGTATGTGTGTGTGTGTGTGCGTGTGGTGTGGTGTGGTGTGGTGTGTGGTGTGTGTGTGTGTATGTGTGTGTGTGTGTGCGTGTGGTTGTGTGGTGTGTGTGGTGGTGGGTGTGTGTGTGTGTCTGCGTGTGTGTGTGGTGTGTGTGTCTGTGT